TGCGGCGCTCAGCAACCCCATTCTGCTGTGGGGACTCTGGAAGCGTCCAGGACTGACGAATGCCCTGCTCGCGACAGAATCCAGCGAGAATGCCGGAGCGAAACTCACCCCCACGGTCGGAGTGGAGACAGCTGACACGACGACCACGAGTGTCCGCAGTGGTGAGCAACCACCTGATCAGCGTAGAAGTCACCTCAGACTTCTTCGCCAGAGGGAACACTGTGGTGTAGCGGGAGAAGTCGTCAACGACCACCAGAAAGTAACGCTCACGCTCAGGGCCTAGACGAGGGGCTGGGCCCCAGACGTCCAAGTGAAGCGTCTCAAAAGGCTCGGTGGCCGGACGAAGGGAGGAGGAGTGAGGGGTGGGGCGCAGCCTACCCTCGACGCAGGGACGACACGGCGGCGTAGGCGAAGGCGGCAGCGACGGCAAGACACGTGGGAGGCCTAGGACAAGACGCTGACTAGACATAGTGTGCAGACGTGGAAGGGACGGGTGCCCCATCCGGTGGTGCCGCAGAACAGTGGGGTGGGCAAGCGACCGGCAGGAGCACGACGCAGCGACTGGAACAGACGTAGGAACCTGACACGACACAGACACCTGGGGGGACGTAGCAACCTGGTGAGACGCGGGGACCCAAACGGGGGGGGGAACCGGGGGCAGTGGCAGTAGGGGGGGCTGCTGGTGCGGCCGCTGGTGCTGCTGCTGCTGCTGCTGCTGCTGCTGCTGCTGCTGCTGCTGCTGCTGCGGCTGCTGCTGCTGCTGCGGGTGCTGCTGCGGCGCACGCGGGCCAGTGTGAAGAGTGTAGAGACCCGAGCCCGGCTCAGCAGTAAAGGTAGCAAGAGGCTGGTAAGAGTCTCCGTCAACACACACCGCAGTCTCTCCAGAAGGCTCAAACCACACACCCACGTGCTGACTCACGAGGGGTCGCACGCCCACCAAGTTCCGGGAGAACGAGGGGACGTGAAACCCAGTGAGAGACCCGGAGGGAGCAGCAGGACACGGTAAAGTGGTAGTGTGACGTGCAGTGACTGGTCCCGTAGTGGGATCAGCCAACGCAACAGAAACAGGCGCAGGAAGTGGTGTAAGTGTCGTGCTGTCCCGAAAGAAGCAGTGGGAGGCTCCAGAGTCCAGTGTGAACGACAGCGAAGCGTCCTCTGAGGTAGTCGCTGGTCTAGAGTCTACACAAGAGCCTACACTAGCAACAGGCAACTGAGCAAGACTAGCACCTAAGCTAACAACACCAGAGTAAACAGAGTCATAAACACTAGAGTCAACAACAGCATACATAGCATGAGGAGCACTAATCAGATCAACTAACTGCTCAGCAGACATGCCCCACAGAGCGGAGCCGTAGCGCTGAACCAGAGGAAGCCAGTCAGGAGCAGGACCGCCAACCCCGTAGGTCAACCGGACCGTGTCAGTGAGCTGAGCAAAGCACTGACCAGGGGGGTGAAAGCGGCCACAAGGGTGGCCCCGACGAGGACCTGTCTGAACCTGGTAGGGGCAGGGAGGGTAAGCAGCACCGCGCTGGGGCTGACGCAGCCCCGACCCCGGAGCCAGCTGCTGACGCTGCTGCTGCTGAGGCTGCTGGGAGGAAAGGGGCTGCTGCTGCTACTGAAGGTGCTGCTGACGCTGAGCCTGGTACCACGCCGCTGCTCCACCTAGCGGGGCCGGCAGTACAGGAGGCGACTGACGAGCTCGAGGGTCGCCGCCACCAGCAGGTGCAGTGGAGTCACCAGCCGCTGCACGAGGGGTCTCTCTAGACGCTGCACTCCCACCACCGCCAGTCGCAACAGCACCCCCACTACCTCCGCTACCTCCGCCTCCACCTACACCGGAACCACCTTTCTTGCCCCCCCTGCCGCGGGACCGCGACGCAGTCGTAACAGCAGCCGCAGTCGCGTCAGTAGCGGCAGTGGCAAGAGAGGCAGTGAAGGTGGGTAACTGCGGGACTGTGCACCCGTGGAAGAGTGGGGGGGACACAGTACCAGAGGCGGCAGCTACCGAACGAAGGTTGCTCTCGACGTCCTTGAGTGCAGACTCAAGGACCTCGATAGTCAGCTCACTAGGGTGCTTCAGCAGAAGCGCGTCACGAACGGAGGCAAGGCGGTCAGGGAGGCTAGTGGCGATGAAATAGACAGTAATCGCCATGGGGGGAGGAAGCAGTGCAAGCTGTGCCTCAGTGCAAGCAGCGCGGTAACTAGCGTCGAGCGAGCGGAGGTGAGCGATCAAGTCAGCAGAGCGCTCAAACGAGGCAAGATCAGGAAACAGGAACGGGAGGAAAAGACGGCCGAGAGAGACAGTAGCGGGAGTAGAGTAGCGGGCCTTAATCGCAGTGAGGTACGCAGCAGCGGTGCGAACCTGAGTAAAGTGGACCTCCTCGGACTCAGGGAGGAGGCTGCTGAGTGCGATGCAGGCCGCAGCGTCACGCGACGTCCAAGCCGTCTGGTCAGCGCGCTGACGGGCAAAGCGAGCCGTAGCAGCGTCGTCAGGAGCAGGGCCTAAAGCGGTAGGCTCGGGGGGCTCGGGGAGGTCACCAGTAGCGTGTGACCAGAGGGTCTCGCCCCCCTGGACCTGACTCTCTAACAGACAACGAGCGCGAAGAAGCCAGACGGAAAAGTCAAGGGGTCTACCGTCAGCGTCGAAACGAAGAACTCGCGGAGTCGCCATAGAGAGAACCAACGCGAACGAACAGGCGAGTAACAACCGGGGGGGAAGAGGACTCAGTCGCAGCGGAAGAGCGGGCTAGGGCGATGGGCCAAAACGTAGGGTAGGGCAACGGGCCAGGGCCTAGGGTAGGGCGACGGGCCAGAGCCTAGGGAGGGCGACGGGCCAGGGCCTAGGGAGGGCGACGGGCCAGGGCCTAGGGAGGGCGACGGGCTAGGGCCTAGGGAGGGCGACGCGACGGGGGAAAGGGCGGGAGCGACGCGACGGGGCAGGGCGACGCGACGGGACAGGGCGACGCGACGGAGCAGGGCGGCGCGACGGAGCAGGGCGACGGGACAGGGCAGGGCGACGCGACGGGGTAGGGCGACGCGACGGGACAGGGCGACGGGACGGGACGGGACGGGACAGGGCGACGCGACGGGACGGGACAGGGCGACGCGACGGGACAGGGCGACGGGACGGGACAGGGCGATGTGACGGGACAGGGCGACGGGACGGGACAGGGCGACGCGACGGGACAGGGCGACGGGACAGGGCAGGGCGACGCGACGGGACAGGGCGACGGGACGGGGGGGGAACAGGCGGGCGCGACGCGACGGGGGGAACAGGCGCGACGCGACGGGGGGGAACGGGCGCTACGCGACGGGGGGAACGGGCGCGACGCGACGGGGGGAACGGGCGCGAAGCGACGGGGGAGATGATGCTAGGCTCGGTACTAGGCGCGGTAACAACTAAACTGGTACGAACGAGAGGTAGGATCAGGCTCGGGAGGTACGAACGGAGAACGGAGGAACGGGATCCCACAGGATCCTAACCTAGCTGATACCATGTCAGAATGAGGAATGGATGTTGCATTGATGTTGGTTGGGGTACATATGACAAACCCTAACTTCTGTACCCCCTAAGACAAACCTCACTACAGGCTACAACATTTGACAGGCAACGGGCCAGGGCTTAGGGTAGGGCGACGGGCCAGGGCGTAGGGAAGGGCGACGGGCCAGGGCGGAGGGAAGGGCGACGGGGCAGGGCTTAGGGTAGGGCGACGGGCCAGGGCTTAGAGTAGGGCGACGGTACGGGAGAAAGGGCGGGAGCGACGCGACGGGGCAGGGCGACGCGACGGGGCAGGGCGATGGGACGGGACAGGGCGACGGGACGGGGCAGGGCGACGCGACGGGGCAGGGCGACGCGACGGGACAGGGCGACGGGACGGGGGGGAACGGGCGGGCACGACGCGACGGGGGGGAACGGGCGGGCACGACGCGACGGGGGGAACGGGCGCGACGCGACGGGGGGAAAGGGCGCGACGCGACGGGGGGAAAGGGCGCGACGCGACGGGACAGGGCGACGCGACGGGGGGGGGGGGGGGGGGGGGGGAAGGGCGCTAGGTAACGGGGAGAAAGGGCGCTAAGCGACGGGGGGAAAGGGCGCTAGGCTCGGTACTAGGCGCGGTAACAACGGAACTGGTACGAACGAGAGGTAGGGTCAAGCTCGGGAGGTACGAACGGAGAACGGAGGAACGGGATCCCACAGGATCCTAACCTAGCTGATACCATGTCAGAATGAGGAATGGATGATGCCATTGATGTTGGTTGGGGTACATATAACAAACCCTAACTTCTGTACCCCCTAAGACAAACCTCACTATAGGCTACAACATTTGACACAGACTGCGTCAGGCAGCAGCAGTGGCGAGGATTCTGCCCGAACGGTTTCGTAACCGCCCGGAGTCGCACGGTTGGATCTCAATGCAATAAGGGAATGTACCTCTTAGCTAACATGGCTAGCTAGAACGTTTCGAATTCCCCAGTACTCCTATTTATATTCCTTGTACTGCATGTTTTTATTATCTCAAGCATTTACATTCACTCTGCTATTGAGGTCAAGGGCCCACCACACTAGATTAGAAGTGTGCGAACCTTCCCGAGGTGATCCTGGTCACGATCAACTTCTGATCGCAACACAATCCATTCCTTGCTTGCTATCTTGACATGCGCGACGGGTCAGCTGTGGGTGCTGGACGATGGGGCAGCAGGGCGTGCTGGGCGACGGGGCACAGGGCGTGGTGGGCGACGGGGCAGCAGGGCGTGCTGGGCGACGGGGCAGCAGGGCGTGCTGGGCGACGGGGCAGCAGGGTGTGCCGGTGCCAGATAACCAGGCAGCGGGGGGTGTTACGAGGCAGTGGGGTGCGAGGGAATGAGCTACAGAGCAGAATATCTAACGTGGGCTAGCTGGGTGGGCTAGCTGTTCTACAGCAGTGGCGGCGGCTGTGAAAGCTTGTGAAAGCTGAACAGGAAAGAAAAGCAAACCTGTGCCAACATGCCTGGGTGTTGAGCTAACTGCTCTTGAGCAGTGGTGTCTCAGCAAGCCATGGTGGTGAGGGGATGGATGGGACAGCAGCAGCTTTTCTACCATAGATAAGGAAACGGGGAATCTCAAACACGCTGTGCAAGTGCTGCATGTTCCAACAGCGTGCCCAAGCACCATACTATTGAGTACTGGAAGGTTACTTCGGAAGAATTATTCGTCTATTATCAACATTGTTACAAAGCAAAAATTAGTATGTAAAAGGAACTAAGATAGCCTATGCACTAGTGAACTTGGTCACGGCTTTTGTTCCCTCTGAAACAGCGTGCTTCGCAAGCTCCCCAGGCAGAGTCAGCCGAACAGCCGTCTGGATCTCGCGAGACGTAATCGTCGGCTTCTTGTTGTACCGCGCGAGCTTAGACGCCTCCGTCGCGAGCTTCTCAAAGATATCATTTATAAAAGAATTCATGATCGACATGGCCTTGGACGATATCCCCGTGTCTGGATGCACCTGCTTCAGCACCTTGTAGATGTAGATCTTGTACGTTTCTGTCACGGCCTTGCGAGCCTTTTTCTTCTCTTTCTTGTCGCCGATGGGCTTTTTCCCCGCGGGAATGGCTTTCTTAGCGGCGGGCTCCTTCTTGGGTCCCTTCTTCGCCGCCTTCTGCTCTCCTTCTACTTTCGGCGCCATCGTAACAAAGCGCTTCTCGAGAAACAAGTAGCTCACAGGAAATGAGGGCCTTGGAAAGTGACAGTATGAGAACTGAAATGCGTTGTTGTCAAGAGCTTTGGATAAGAAAACTGACGTAGTTACGAAGTGCGAGAACGGACGCTTGAGACACAAAAAAGCTGTCGCCGCTGAGACATATTTCAACAGTTTGGGCTGTGAATGGGGGAGAAGTTCCATGACTGGAGTTGTGTGCGTGGTGTGTGGGTTGTCGGGATTTGTTGCAACGGTTGTGGTTGTTTGTGCTTTCAGAACTTAGCCAATGAAACGCTAGGCAGCAGATCGAGACCTTCAATATTGGCCGTCGATGATTAACGTGTAACTCGCTTAACCGTCAATAGCACTTCCAGCTAGGCTCCGCTTTTGCTCAAATTTAGATCGTCCGATCTAATTCAACAGCGTTGTGCTTGCGGTGGTGCAAGGTGTGGTAACTTTGCGAAATCTGGAGAAAGCCTCTCTACAGTCTTGCCTTGGTTGTAAGCCAATCACAGATCGCAGTCGCAAAAGTTTCGGGATCGACGTAAATCGTGCTTCGCCGTTGATATTCCTATCTCCAACTTCCTCATCGACGACCAAGAAACGCCAAGACCTCCGAACAACACGCCAAACCATGTCCAACAGCACAAAAAATGAGATGAGAAACACCACCGCGCTGGACTAGGCGAACCCACCACAACACCATACCACACCATATCAAAACGCACCACACCGTCCAGTGCCCCATCCATGCTTCTCTCCGTTGGTCTGACCCCAACTTGTCCAGCCTGCTCTGAATAAAGGGGCACTGAATTGATTCTCATCACCATTCGAGTGCCTCTCCAAGTCTTCCGTTCCAGTTCCTTCTCTCCGAATCCCAGTTCCTTCTCGAATTCATAGTCCCGGGTTTCCTTTGTTTTTCAAGATTGAAGAGAGACTTCATACTAAACCATTTTTCAAGACTTCGTTGCGGAGCTGCACATATTCTTGACCTCTGATTGAGCTGCGTCTGCGTCTCGCTTTCAGTTTCAGTTATTCTTTAAGAATTCCCAGCCGTATCTTCGTGTGCGGTCGTCAGTCATCATGTCGGGACGCGGCAAGGGAGGGAAGGGCCTTGGAAAGGGAGGCGCGAAGCGTCACAGGAAGGTTCTTCGCGACAACATTCAGGGCATCACCAAGCCGGCTATCAGGCGACTCGCTCGCCGCGGCGGCGTCAAGCGTATCAGCGGTCTAATCTACGAAGAGACTCGCGGTGTGCTGAAGGTGTTCCTCGAGAATGTCATTCGTGACGCTGTGACTTACACGGAGCACGCGCGGAGAAAGACGGTCACCGCCATGGATGTTGTTTATGCTTTGAAACGCCAAGGCAGAACACTATACGGCTTCGGCGGCTAGCCAGAAAAAAAAATAGGCATGTGGAAGTTGTAGGATTTACCGTAGTTTCCAGTTAGCGTTGTCATCAGTTATGATTGTACAAAAGAATCACCAACGACATAACCCGCACCTCTTTCTGTGCGCCTTGGAAACAAGACTCCTACGCGCTGGATACACAGTCCAATCATGGTGTCAGTGGTTGAGTGACCCCAATGGTTGCAGGGATGGTAAAACGGTTGTGAAGACGGTAGCTGGAAAATGGTACAGCACATTCCAGGAGTCAGTAGTGATAGACAGCCATGCTTGTCATTGGAGAAACACTACACACCTATCAATATGGAGCAGCTGAGCAGCTGACATTCAGCAAGCGTTTCAGGTTGCTCCTTCAACTACTCGTCTGATTGTTTTGCTGCCTACCCTTCTACTGGTACCATGTTGTGACTCGTGAGCGTTACTTTGGCACAGAGTTTGCAGCACAGCAGACCCACCATCTTCTAAGCAGGAAGGAAGGCAGTGTGGCGTAGTCAGACACTGCTTGTGCGTAGGCGGACGGAACTCAGTAAAACAATTTTTTGTATGCTGCTACCTGGAAGAACCTGCTACTATCGCTGGCCCTTGCATAGGCATCAGCGGCCAAGAGGGGCGTTCATGAGGTCAATGGCTTTCTCGGCAAGCTGCACAGACACAGAGATTAATGGGGGAGGAGGGGAGGGGTTGATGGGGAGGAGCAGAAGAGACATAGAGTGAGGAGAGGAGGTGAGTGAAAGAGGCGTGTTCGTAAGGTAAATGGCTTTCTCGGCAAGCTGCACAAGCACCGGATAAATAAGGGGGGAGGGGAGGGCGAGAAAGGAGGGGGGGGGGGGGGGGGGGGGGGGTTGACTTTTGAGTCGGATTGAGCCATCAGCGGACAAGAGGGGCGTTCATGAGGTCAATGGCTTTCTCTGCAAGCTGCACAGGCACCAAGGAGATCAAGGGGGGAGGAAGGGGAGGAGGGGGGGTTGATGGGGAGGAGCAGGAGAGACACAGAGAGAGGGGAGAGGAGGCGAGTGAAAGGGGGGCGTTCATGAGGTCAATGGCTTTCTCTGCAAGCTGCACAGGCACCAAGGAGATCAAGGGGGGAAGGGGAGAGGGGGAAAGGAGGGAAAGGGGGGGATGACTTTAAGTCGACTCAGAAGTCGGATTGAGACGTCAGCGGCCAAGAGGGGCGTTCATGAGGGGCGCAACCGCAAAGGGTCAATGGCTTTCTCGGCAAGCTGCACAGGCACCAGTCGAATAAAGAGAGGGGGGGGGAGGGGAGGAAGAAGAGGGGGAGAGAGGGGGGGAGTTGACTTTTGAGTTGAATTGAGACATCAGCCGCTAAGAGGGGCGTTTATGAGGGGCGTTTATGAGGGGCGGTCAATGGCTTTCTCGGCAAGCTGCACAGGCACAGAGGAGATCAAGGGGGGGGGAGGAGCAGCAAAGACACAGAGAGGCGAGGAGGTGAGTGAAAGAGGGGCGCTCATGAGGGGCGGTCTATGGCTTTCTCGGCAAGCTGCACAGGCACAGAGTAGGAAATCCAGGGGGAGGGGGAGTAGGGGGGGTTGATGGGGAGGAGCAGAAAGTGACATAGAGAGAGGGGAGAGGAGGCGAGTGAAAGAGGGGCGTTGATTAAGCCCCCTCCCACCCCACCCCATCCCATCCCACCCTACCTTGGACACGGTCTTGAGCTCTCGGTTGATGGTACCTTCTGGTTGACTCAGAAAAACCCCACTCCTCATCCCCTTCCCCACCCTGCCACCCCACCCCACCCCACCACACCCCACCCCACCCTACCTTGGACACGGTCTTGCGCCATGGGCTCGATGGCCTTCCAGGAGAGCGGGCTGTTGACCACCAGTGGCCCCAGTCCCCCCATCCCCTACACCCCACCCCACCCCACTCCACCCCAACCCACCCTACCTTGGACACGGTTTTGAGCTCTCGGGCCATGGGCTCAATGGCCTTCCAGGAGAGAGGGCTGTTGATCTCCAGCGGCCACACCTGGAGGGGCGAGGAGGGGTGAGAAGGGGTGAGAAAGGGAGAAGGAGGAGGCAGGTAAGTCATGGATGGGGGCTCTATGGCCTTCCAGGAGAGAGAGGGCTGTTGATTTCCAGCGGCCACACCTGGAGTGTCAGAGGGGGCGGGGGGAGAAAAAGCGAGGAGACGACAAGGAAAGGAGGCTGCTGAATGGCTTTCCAGGAAGATGGGTTGTGTTGTGTCGCCGTAAAGTGGCCAAACCTGGAATAACAACCATCTCCACACACCTCCACCCATCTCCACCCATCTCCACCCTTCCCCACCCATCTCCACCCACCTGCAAGCCCATGACAATGACGAGCCGCTTCAACCCCAGCACCAGACAGCCCTCCCATGCCGCCTCCACCCCTGCCTCCTGCATCAGCAACAACAAGCCTCCATAGCACCCACCTGCACACCCATCTGCACCCACCTGTACGCCAATAGCACCCACCTCTACCCATCTCCACCGCTCTGCACCCACCTGCACGCCCATAACAATGACGGGCCGCTTGAGCCCGGGCACCAGACAATCCTCCCCTGCCGCCTCCACCCCTGCCTCCTGCGCCAACCCCATGCCTATAGGGTCCGGATGCTGTAGGGGCGGTGGGGGAAGGGAAGGGGGGAAGAGGCAGCCCAAATAAGCACTAATCACGGCGCCTCCACCCCTGCCTCCTGCGCCAACCCCATCCCTATGGGTGGGGACTGTATGCTGCTAGCTGCAATGTGCCGATGGGGGGAAGAGAAAGGGAAGCAGGTGATGATGAGAAGGACTCGCGGGGGTGATGTGATGGGGACATGGGTCTGACAGGCAGCACCAGCAGGGCACCTGCACAGCACAGCACAGCACGGCACGGCACGGCACCTCACAACACAGGCCCATCCACCCACCCGCAATATGCTCATGGCACAGCCCCATCCACCCACCCACCCACCCACCCCACCCACCCAACCACCCACCCACCCACCCACCCACCCACCCACCCACCCGCCCCACCCACCCACCCACCCACCCACCCGCCCGCCCACCCACCCACCCACCCACCCACCCGCCCACCCACCCACCCGCCCACCCACCCACCTACCCACCCGCATGATGCTCATGGCATAGTCGAACTCCGGCCCGCGTCGCACACTCGCCAGAGCCGGCCCGCCAATGAGAGCCACCCCTGTGCCCTTGGCGCGCCAGGGCGCGTCTGCTCTGAGGGTCTTCTTGGGAGGAGCCATGCCGCCTGTTTGTGGGTGTGCTTGGTTGCTGCATACGCGTGGGCAAAAGAAGGATTGGAAGGGAAGGGAAGGGAAGGGATGGGAAGGGAAGGGAAGCCAATGAGAGCCACCAACGTGCCCTTGGCCCGCCAGGGCGCGTCCGCTCTGAGGGCCTTCTTAGGCAGAGCCATCCGGTGTGGGTGTGGTTGCTGCATACGCGTGGGCGAAAGAAGGATGAGAAGGGAAGGGAAGGGGAGGGAAGGGAAGGGAAGGGAAGGGAAGGGAAGGGAAGGGAAGGGGAGGGGAGGGGAGGGATGGGAAGCCAATAAGAGCCACCACCGTGCCCTTGGCACGCCAGGGGACGTCCGCTGTAAGGGCCTTCTTGGGCGGAGCCATGGGGTGTGTGTGTGGGTGTGGTTGATGCATAGGCGTGGGCGAAATGAGGAGAGGGAAAGGAAGGGATGGGGAGTCAAATAAAGCCACAGCCGTCTCGTTGGCGCGCCAGGGTGTGCTTGCTCGAAGGGCGTTCTGGAGCCATTCGGTATGGAATCACAATTAAAGCCAGCGTCCAATCCAAGCCAGCGTCCAATTGCCAGCGTCCAATCGAAAAGCGCACGGGTTGGGACGGCCGCGGGGAAGGGTTAGGCTGTGATTTTCTCACCCTCGTTACCTGCTCCTCACCCTGTCTTTCCGCACCCTCCCCTCGAGCTAACCCTAAGATAATTTCGTACGTATGTCGTAATTCGTTGCTAGAGCTCCTGTTACTCACGCACTCAGTCGCGCGTTACGAGATTAAACCCAGACGGCAATAACGCCGGGCCGTTACGCCCCAGTACCCAGTTCTTACATGGGTGAGCGGACGCACGAAAAAAAACGGAAATTATTTTGAAAGATCTCAAAAACGGGCGCACGGAAAATGCAGCAACAAAGCGCGAAAAATGCGATCCGCGCCACGTGGTGTGGTGAGATAGCAAGGAAAAGTATGGTCGTAAAACGCACTACTGTGGTTGGCAGTCCTAATGGATTTCCTCAGCAATAATGGATTTCCTTATCCGTGCTTCACGTGCCATCGTGTACAGTTCTGTTGGCTCGCCTTGCGACATGAGGGCGTATTCCTAGCTTCGTGTCATCCTGGCTTTGTGTCATCCGAAATTGTGGGATCGAATAGGTAAATTCAAAGCTCGAAACGCGGGTTTCCCGATTGGCTCCCACAATTTCGGATGACACCAACACGGGATGACACGAAGCTAAGAATAAGCCCTGAGTGGTGGAAATTTCAATACACTTTCCCTCCCCGTAGTGGATTCGGGCAGGTTCGGCTGGCGTTATGGGCGTTATGTCCTTTTTAACGGGCCTCGAAAAACGCCGGGTCGAAATAACGACGAAGCAAAGATGCGCTAGCGTTGTAACTTCGGAATAACGTGAGGAAAGTAGAACGAGAATGAATGACTAAGGAATGGAAGTGATACAAATATGCAACCCTAGAAATGTGTACCCCATATGGGCTACCCCACTATAGCCTACACAATATTATAATTTGACACACCCCCATAGGCAAAGTGGGGGGAGAACAAGGGGTCACAAGTCCAGTTAAGCAAAGCAGACAAAGCTCAGGGTGGATCACAACGTCACCACACAGTCCGAGCACAAGGTTAAGGCCACAAGGCCAGTTCACATGCAGGAGTACACATTTATATATAAGGCTAAACAAGCAAGAGCAGGTATATATCTGTGTAAGAGTACAAGCAAGGTCAAGGGGTGAGCAAGTGAGGCAAGACAGGCACAAGACCCAGTTGAGTGCAGAAGCCCTGATGATCACAAGGCGGAAATGCCTTGGTGAAAACATCAGCAGTGTTGGCCTCAGAGGCCACGTACGCAAGTCGCAACTGACCACGCTGCTGCAACTCACGAGCAAGAAAGTAGCGGAGAGCAATGTGCTTCGTTCTGTGCTCCAGGCGCTGCTCCCGACACAAGGCTAGCATGGCCTTGTTGTCTACGTACAGCACCGGAGGAGAACGAGGCGGCTCTCCGAGGTCAGTCAGCAGGTAGGTAAGCCAGCGAAGCTCCTGTGCAGCCATGGCCCCGGCGTAGATCTCAGCCTCACAACTGGAGCCGAGAACAGAAGACGAGCGAGTAGCCCGCCACGAAACAGAGCCGGAACCAAGGCTGAAGGTGTAACCCTGTGACGACCGCTGCGTAGCCTGGTCGTCTGCCCAAGAAGCGTCCGCGTGCCCAGTGAGGACCACTGGACTCCGCCCTCCAAGCACTAGCCCCATGCCCGACGTACTGCACAAGTAGCGCAACACCCTCTTCGCTGCAGCCATGTGCTCCGGTCTGTGTCTCCCAGGAGCAACATAGCGGGCAAGAATGCTAAGAGGGTATGCAAGGTCAGGTCGTGTGCAGGTCATCAGGTACATGAGGCAGCCAACAAGCTCTGGGTACGGGCCACTCGACTCTACGGACTCATCCGAGGGCAGAGCTGAGAGCGAGTGGCGAGTAGACAGAGGAGTGGCCTGAGGCGAGGAGTACGTGAAGCCGAAGCGCTGAAGGACCTGCTGCACCATGTGTGACTGAGTCAGGGTAATGGTGCGGCGTGCTCTGTCCCGGGTGATCTGCAAGCCAAGGTAGCTGCGCAGCTCACCCAGGTCTGTGCACGTGTGTCTCTTCTGCAGCTCGGACTTCACGTGGGCGAGTCCAGCAGTGTCAGCTGTGGCAAAGACCAAGTCGTCGACGTACACGAGGATGTAGAACGGCGGCAGAGAGGTGTCGGTGCGTAGAAACAACGACGGGTCAGCAGTAGAGGGAGCAAACCCAAGAGCCGCAAGTGTAGTCCTCAGTGTGTCGTGCCACTCGTGCGGTGCCTGGCGGAGACCATAGACTGGCCGTCGGAGGCTCCACTGGGTGCCAGGAGGGAAAGTCCCAGTGAAGCCAGGTGGACGGCGCAACCAGATCTCCTCGTGCAGGCTACCCTGCAGGAAAGCAGTGCTGAAGTCAAGGGAGTGAAGCTCGTAGTCACGCTGAGCGGCTACGTGTAGCAGCACCCGAAGAGTGGTCATCTTCGGGGTGGGAGAGAAGGTCTGAAAGTAGTCAACTCCCTGCCGCTGACTGAAGCCTCGAGCCACGTACCGCGCCTTGAAGACAGGTGGAGAGCCCGGCGGCCGCTTCACCCTGAAGATCCACATGCCACTGACGATGTTCGCCCCAGGAGGGGGAACCGCGTCAACATAGGTGCCTGTGGACTTCCAGGAAGCCATCTCTGCATCCATAGGTGCCTGCCACTGAGAGGAGTAGGGACCCTCTACGGCCTCCGCGTAAGAGCGAGGAGTCGGGATGTCTAGTGCATCCGGGTCTCCCTCAGGGGTAAGCAATACGGATGCGAGATGAGGTGAAGCAGCAGCCAGACACTGGAACTCCTCCTGCCTGTCCTCAAGAACGTCTGTGCCAAGAGCACACTCACCCCCGACGGGCGGAGGACAGACAGACGCAGACTCAGCAACAAGACTAGCAGCGTAGTCTAGACGACAGCGAGCAGCAAAGTCGACGAGCTCAGCAACAAGAGCAGACGCAGCAGTGGACTCAAAGGAGGGGTCAGTGACGACAGTAGTAAGGAGACGCGTGACAGTAGGACTGGCAGCACGAAGAGAGTCCGACTCAGGGTCGGCAAGCACAGGAAGAGAGGACTCAGGAGGAGAGGGCAAAGGGGCACGCAGAGGAGTAGTGGACGGACGCAGAGACATCCGGTGCGTGCCAGGGACAGGAGGAGGACGCTGACGCGAACCGCGACCACTAGTGCGAGCAGCACGAACAGGCGACGCAGGACGAGACGCAGGCTCACGACGCTCAGCGAGACCTCCAGTAGGACCAGTGTACGCAGAAGGAGAAGGCAGTGGGGAGGCCGGCGGTAACTGTGATTGCGACTGGACAGGCGGTGGACACTCTAAGGGAGGAGGAAGACCAAGAACCTGCTGAAGGAGCGGAACAAAGTACGGCCGAGGCCGCGTGGCGACTCCAGACACAGCAGGGACAGCACCAGCACCCCCAGCGGCAGCACCAGCGTCAACAGCACCTCCAGCTCCAGTACCTCCAGCAGCACCAGCAGCACCCGCAGCAGGACCGCCGCTAGGACTGACAGCAGTAGCCTCAGCGCCAACACCCTCAGCAGCTCCGACTCCAATAGCACTCGCAGGACTAGCACCTCCGAGACCGGCGGCACCAGCACCCTCAGCAGCTGAAGAAGCACCAACTCCAGTAGTACGCCTCCATCGGCGGGCAAACCACTCGCGCAACTCCTGTGGAGAGAGTGGCTCCCGCCGAGACGAAGCACTCGGAGAACCACCAGGCCCAGCACCGCCAGACGCCAGACGAGCAGGTCCAGCGGCCGCGGGCTCCGCACCCCCAGGCTTAGTAGCTCCAGACTCAGCACCCCCAGGCTCAGCAGCTCCAGACGCAGCACCCCCAGGCGAAGGACCCCCAGGCTCAGCACCCCCAGTCGTAGCACCCCCAGGCTCAGCACCCCCAGTCGTAGCACCCCCAGGCTCAGCACCCCCTGGCTCAGCACCCCCAGTCGCAGCACCCCCAGACGCAGCACCCCCAGGCTCAGCACCCACGCGCGCAGCACCCCCAGAGTCAGCACCCCCAGGCTCAGCACCCGCAGCAGTACCAGAGTCACCAGCAACCTTGACCGGCTCGACTGCATCTACCTGGGACACACCTGAAGGGGCAGGACCCTGAGGGGGGAGGGGGTCTACCGGGGGGGGGGACCTGGCACAAGGAAGTGCGGTGGCGGGGGGAGGGAAGGAGTGCGGTAGGGAAAGAGGCGGTAGTAGGGTACTGACTCGTCGAACGTGACGTCCTGGGAGGACAGAACACGACGAGAGGTGGGGTGGTAGAGCTGCCACCTAGGGGCGTCAGGGGGGAAGCCAAGGAAGACACAGGGAGCAGCACGAGGGGACATCTTGTCCGCAGACAAGTCGCGCACAAACGCCCGAGATCCCCAGACACGGAACGCATACGCATCGCCGACCTTCCCCGTCCATAGTAAGGTTGGGGAGGTCTCCGGTTTGGAGACCCTGGGGTGAAGGTTGATCTGATGCGCCGCGTACCGAACCGCAAACGGCCACAGAAAATGGGGGGCAGCCGCATGCATCATGGACGTACGAGCGACGTCCATGACCATGCCAATGCGGCGCTCAACAATCCCATTTTGCTGTGGAGAGTCCAGAAGCATAAAGGTCTGGCGGATGCCTCGCGCACGACAGTAGGCTCGCAGAAGGCCTGAGGAGAACTCTCCGCCTCGGTCAGAGTGCAGACGCAGAACAGGAAAGTCCGAGCCGAAGCTCCTCCTGAGCTGGAGACGAGCTGCGCGGATCCAGTCGATCAACACCTCAGCGACATCACCCTTGCTGCGCAAGGGGAAGACTGTGGTGTAACGCGAGTAGTCGTCAACCACCAGCAGGAAGTAGCGCTCGTAACCCTGTCCCCGGACGCGGGCCGGGCCCCACACGTCCATGTGAAGCGTCTGCAGCGGGGCCTCTGTCGGGGGAAACTGAGAGGAGTGAGGGGCAGCTCGAAGCCGCCCCTCGACACAGGGGACACAGGAAGGACCAGGCCCCGGAGGAAGGGGAGGGAGGGACCGGGGAAGACCAGAGACAAGGACACGGGAAGCCATGCCTCGGAGACGAGGCAGGGAGGGGTGACCAAGACGGTGGTGCCAGAGGAGAGTCTCGTGAGACAGGAGGCGACACGAGCAGGGGGCAGACTCAGGACCAGACCTGGACGCTGCAGCAAACACCGGACCCGACGCAGCTACCTGACCAGACGCAGTGACTGGAGGAGACGCGGTGGTCAGTGTGTACAGGCTCGACCCCGGCCGACGTGTAAACGTGGCCAGGTGTCGGCCTGTCCGAGCTTCCGTGCAGTGGGTCACCCGCTGACTCGCAGGAGTGAACTGGTGAACCCCCGTATCCTGCAGGTCAGCACCACTCACCAAGTTCGTAGAGAACGAGGGGAGGTAAAGACCAGACAAGGTGCCAGAGGGGGCAGCCGGACACGGGAGGACAGTGGAGAAGTGAGAGAGGACAGGACCCCCAGAGGGGTCTGCCAGGGAGACTGCAACCGGCCGACGAAGCGGAGTGAGTGTGGTGCGG